CTCTAAAGGCAGAGGGAGACTCTACTGAGCTCCTGGCTCCCAGCCTCTTATATAGGCCAGCTGAAGCCTGATTCGGGTGTGGCCCAGCTGCAGCCACTTCCCCCAATCAGCCAGGGTTTTACCTTGCCCAGCCCAAGCCCTCTATAGGGCTTTTCCAACCCCTCAGGGCAGGAGTGGGTGTCCACCCCACTACACAGGCATTTAACCTTTCCTGCTGAATCATTAGGTACCTCTAGTTCTGGGCACAGCTGCATTGACTCCTCTGTTGGGCGAAGATGACAACCACTAAGAATAGTGGGAGCCTTGACTCTGCTTCCCCCACACCAGGAAACAGGTATAAACCTCCTGAAAATTACTTATGGCACCCCAGAGCAAAGAGGGAACTGTGCCTCTGTCTAAGATACTTATCCCTGCCACCATAGTATCTTTAATGGATTTATCCTCACAACACCACTGTGAGGTGGGGCCTACTGTTATCCCCAGTCTACATATGGGGAACCAAGGCACAGAGAAGCTAAGGGATTTGCCCAAAGTCATAAAGGAAATCTGTGATGGAGCAAGGTGTTGAAACGGGGTCGTCTAAGTCCTAGGCTAATCTCTAACCACTAACCCATACTTCCTCTCCCCTGTGCTGCTCCTAAGAGTGGCTCCCCTTAATGCTGCCTCTTACACGGGGCTTGTGGGGAAGACATAATTTAGCTAAAACTATGTGCCCATTGGGTTGTATGCTCAAAAGTTGGAATCTGAAGCTAGACAAATTCAGACTGAAAATAAGGCATAAATTTTTAACGGGGAGAGTAATTAATCATTGGAACAATTTACCAAGGGTTGTGGGGATTTGCCATCACTGACAATTTTTAAATCAAGATTGGATGTTTTTCTAAAAGATCTGCTCTAGGAATTATTTTGGGGAAGTTCTCCAGCCTTTGTTGTACAGGAGGCCAGACTAGGTGATCATAATGGTTCCTTCTGGCCTTGAAATCTATGAATTTATGAAAAAAACTGGTATATTTTCATGTGCAGTGAAAGCTGGTAACTGTCCGATACAGATCAGGTAGACGTAGGTGCTCAGATACATGGTATAAGAACAGAACAGAACGTATTTGTGTGCACAGCTCTCAGCATCTAGCGGTGCAGAAGGATATGCCAGCAGTGTCGACACATTTCTACAGGCTGGTTGGAAAGGTAAGCCTGCATTTTGATGGCAATGTGGAATACAGACATTTCCAGTAACCAGAAGAGTATAGGCCCCTTTCCCTCATGATGTTCCTTCTGCTGGCATAACTTTATTTTTAAGCCTCTGGGTCCAGAAGAGTGGCTTGATTTGCCATTGAGAAATTTCATAATTAAACAAGGAATCCAGACCCTCAGAGAGGATTTGGCTGAACACTTGCCTGAGCATGAATTTCAAATACAGGGCCTACTCAAGGCAACATGCCAGGGACAGCTTGCCTGGCAGCACGCAGGAGAAGTCTATCTGTGTTAAACGTACTCCTGTAGTTGTCGCTTTGACAGTCCAAGAGAGGTTCCCGTCTGTTCGCTCGCTGCAGCTGTGCTGCTGCACACAGCTGGGTGATAGTTCCCCTCAGGCAGCTGCTCCCCTGACGAGGAAAAGCAGCCCAAAAAGTGAGTCCGTGAGAGCTGGAACTGTTCTTTGGAGCTGCTGAGAGGATGGGGCAGGTGAGACCCACATGCAGCGCTCTCACCCAGGGAGGAAATAAGAGCTGGAAAGAATCCCTGAATCCCTGATATCCTGGCAGAATTTGAACAAGCTCTCACAGCCATTTCTTTCTTCAGCCTGTGGTAAGCCCTGGGTCTAATTCTCCTCTCGCTCATACTGGTGTAAATCAGGAGTAGCTCTACTGAAGAAAGTGGAGTGTCATCTGTGTGAATGTGGTGTAAGTAAAAGGAGAATCAGAGTTCTGGGATTCCAGGTGCGGTAGAAGGACTGGGGCACCTAGTCACTTTGTTTCCTATTTAAACAGAAATGCTTCCCCATGAGCGAAAAGGGAGGCAGCGCCACGGCTCAAACGAACGTATACTGGCCGGCACTGCACTAGGATTTTGTGCATCCTTTTATCCAGTCAAGCCTTCTCAGTTCAGATTAGCTTCCTTTGCCTGATATTTATCATCACTTTGCATATCTCGAGATGGCATCCCGCAAGTCCTGTGAAAAATAGATTGAAAAGCCTGTCTCACCAAAGCTCCCTGAAGTACTTTCTATCCCTCTATCTGGGTACTCATAGGCCCCTAATGACCTCAGAACCGAAGTGTCTTTGCTCAAAAGGCCAGGGTTTGAAGAACCAGCGGCGCTAAAGAGCTAATTTATCCTCCTGCATCGTTCAACAAAGCCATTCTTCCTCTCGCTCATGGCATAAGCACACCCGTAGAGCTAATAATACTGGTAGCACTTCTGTTGCTGAAGTGCTCCAACATACATTAACTAACTGATTTGCACAAGGGCATGAGGTAGGCAAGTATTATCCCCATTTCTATATAAGGGGAAATTAAGACAGAGACCTAGCCAAGCCCATAGAACCTGCCCTTCAGTTACAACACAGCTCAACATCATCTGAGTAAATAGTTCAGGGAGCATTGGGCTGCTTGTAACACACAAGAAACAGAGACAAACAACAATGACCTTCATCTCCATTTACACTGTACTGTATTGTTTATTTCAAGACACATGTTTTGCCTCAACCAGCTGGAACCGGCCTGAATGGAAGTCAATAAGAGTTTTGCCATTGACTGCAATGGGATCAGAAGCAGATCCTAGGATGGGTTTATTGTGAGATGTATTCGCAAAGCTAGAAAATACATAACATTTAACACCATCTAAAAATGCTTCAGATAATAGTGTCCTTTAACGGAACTCATAATGATGTGTGTAATATCACCAGCTTTATTACAGATATGCACACTGTGAGATAAGGGACATAGGAATTGCCAAACTGGATTGGACAAGGGATCCAGTCAACCCAATGTCCTGTCTCTGACAGTGGCCAGTATACAAGAGAAGGTGCAAGAACCCTTGCAGTGGGCAGTTATACGATAACCTCCCCCTCCTAGCCCCCAATAATTAGAGATGGTCTTATGCCTTGAAGCATGAGGGTTTATATTCCTTCCAAAACTCTTGGGGCCAGGTCCTCAGCTGGTATAAATCAGCCTGGCTCTACCAAAGTCAATGGAACTAGCCTGATTTGCACCATCTGAGGATCTGGCCCTTGGTTTTATTTTCAAATCCTTGCTACTGTAACTCTGAGTGCTCTCATTATCCATGCAATCAGCCAGTCCTTATTTTTAATCCTATTGTGCTCTTAGCCTCAATGGTAACTTGTGACAATTATTTAATTTAGCATTGCTTTTTAAAAAAACCTAGGTGATAGGCTTGATTCATCTTGCTTTCTTCTAAACAGGCGTGCCTGTTGTAAATACTTTGGTAAATGTGTTAATTGAAATGACTGTCAGACTTTCGGAAAATGAGTCATTTTGGGAGCCACACTTTGGAAGTCTGTTCACAGTGGCATGGAAAGTGTGAAGAGCTACAAATCGGGTTTGTTTACTATACTATAAGAGAGCCTGCAATGCATAACTTACAGCAAAACACACACACACGCTCAAAGATATATTTCTGGGTAGATTCATTACAACAATGGACACAGCGGGCAGTGGTGTCAGCTAACTAAACTCTAATCAATCTTTCTAATGCCTTTCATAGTATGGTTTCATTAGAAGCCCAGGATAATCATTCACTCATCCACTGTTGAGTGGCTGGTTTTGATTTGTGTTCTTTTATTGTAGGAACTAATGTGTATCCCATAAGATCAAGAATTTCCTCCGGAAGATAGTCTTTTTGAATGTTTCCTATTTATTGCTTATGTGCTAAGAATATATATTACCTTTATTATATAGACATTAGAGGGTAAAATCCAATGGAGTATTTCTACCGAATGCAGTATGCAGAATAGTAAATTCCTGTAGGTGGGAAATGAATCCCTGCTAGAATATTCACTGAGTTATCCAACATCTTTCCTCTCATGAAACAGATTAATTCACATACCACAGAAGCCCATTAGGTATTTTTTATTACAACTCTTCAGGCTGTATCCTGCCTCCGTTTACACCGTGAATCTTGCCAAGTTTAAAGGTAGTTTGAATGAAAAAGTGACTGTGCACAAAAATATGCATTCTGCTTCCTATTATCTGCTGCACATCTTGGGAGAACAGTTCGGATTGGGAGGGGGAAGAGGGGTTGAGTGCTTGTCCTGCCTCTCAGCTATTACAAAGAAAGGAATAAAAAGAATTGGATAATCCATAAAGCAAATTCCTGTTCATATCCTGAATTCTTTCCCCTTATTTAAATCTTGAGGGGCGGTGGGGAAATGTATGTGCATTAAAGATTCACCCAAGCAGGTTTAGGTTGTACAACTAGCATTTACCCAGCAGATCATAATAGGACTCACTCAGTTTGGCAGGAATGCAAGGGCCATATTTTCACAGCTGAGTTCTTTTTGAGTAATTTCTCTGATGCATTAGGCACAAAAGCACATTTAATCTGGGTTCTATACGCTTTCACTATTTACAGCAACTGATTTTTCTCCCCCAAACATTTTCACTCTGACTGGCTATTGCTAGAGAATTCTTTCCCTTCAGTCCCCTGATGGAGCTTGGCCTCTCAGTCTTCATGACAGGTTTATTTCAGAGGCATCTCCACCAGGACCTCAGTATTGCACAGCAGTTGGTTCCCATTGCTTTATCTGGAACATTTCCTTGTTTAGGGGGGCACTAGCCACAATGGATCAAATTCATCCCTGGATATGAGCAGGTACAACTCCTTTGACTTGAGAGCTGCCCTACCCGATACCAGGGCTGAAGTGCGGCCTCTGATTTTAAGACAGATTAATGCTGAGTAGTTGTTCATGCAATCTGACTGAGTAATATTCAATACCAAATGAAACTCCATCACACCTAAATAAGTTCATCACAACTATGAACATTACCTTTTCCGCACCTAAAGTGTAGTAAGAATGACCTTGCCACATGGGATTAATGACCATCTGGGCATAACAGCCCTTGCGGCAGTAAACTTTTCCCATCTGATTCTTTGGACCTGTGTCTCCAGTCTTGGGTTCTTCACACCTGAAGTTTACACCTATAGGGAATAAAGAACAATACAAGAATTAGTACTCGACCGTTTATCAGCTGATTTTAAAAAAGGGACATTCATACACTTTGGGCTGTGATCACTTCTCATAAAGCAAAGCAGGGGCAAGTCTGGGGCAGTAGCTGAACAGAAAGTCCTACTGGGAAATCCAGGGGCTACAGGAAGTGCTGTTAGTGATTCAGCAAGAGTTCTGCTTGACTTTGAGTCAACACAGAATTAGTGCTCCAGCCTGGTTTTAGAGGACATTTTGCTTCTGGAGATGCCTTCTTTTAGAACATAATAATGAGTAATATTTATTATTTGCTTGCTGCTCTATAATGCACAAAAATAAAGACAATCTGCCACAAGGAGCTGACCCCCTATAATAATAGGAAGTCAAATCAAAGTCCTCCCCGCTCATGCTCATTAGACATTCCATGGCAGTTTTTCTAAGAGTAGAGGTGTTCGTCCTGGTGGCCTGACTACATTCTAACTTGGATTCTCACTGGAGTTCTCTCAAGGAAGCAGGGAGTCTCAGATGTCAGTGAAATGCAGTTACATCAGGAATATAAAGGATTAAACCAGACTCAGAGTATGTCTCAGAGCACCCCAAAGCTCTATCTCCTTCGCTCTTTCTAGCCTACTTCCTAATCAATACTTGTAAGCGCCACAAGATGCTCCAACATCTTGCCTATTTAAATCCCCCCAGAAGTTTCAATTACATACAGTATTTTCCATTTCCTTTCCTAAACCTTTAAGTGATGGTGGTGTGCCCTGGTAAGCCATTGCCATGTTTCATCCCAGAGTGCATCACAATACCTTTCAAAGTAAGATCATTAGAGCCCTACCAAATTCACAGCCATGAAAAACATGTCATGAATCGTGAAATCTGGTCTTTTGTGTGCTTTTACCCTACACTATACAGATTTCACCGGGAGACCAGTGTTTCTCAAATTAGGGGTCCTGACCCAAAAGGGAGTTGCAGGGGGATCACAAGATTATTTTAGGGGGGGTCATGGTATTGCCACCCTTACTTCTGCACTACCTTCAGAGTTGGATGGCTGGAGAGCAGTGGCTATTGGCCAGGTGCCCAGTTCTGAAGGCAGCGCCCCGCCAGCAGCAGTGCAGAAGTAAGGGGGGCAATACCATCCCATTCCATCCTTCCTTCTGCGCTGCTGCTGGTGGCAATTCTGCCTTCAGAGCTGGGCTCCTGGCCAGCAGCCGCCACTCTCCAGCTGCCCGGCTCGGAAGGCAATGCTGCCATCAGCAGCATTGAAGAAGTAATGGTAGCAATACCGCAACCCCCCTACAATAACCTTGCGACCCCTCCATGACTCCTTTTGGGGTCAGGACCCCAACAATTACAACACCATGAAATTTCAGATTTAAATAGCTGAAATCATGAAATTTATAATTTTTTAAATCCTATGACAGTGAAATTGACCAAAAGGGACTGTGAATTTGGTAGGGCCCTGTATATAGTGCTATAAAATCAAAGTACTGTAAACGGGCACATAAATTGAGCTCCAAAAGTAATTAACGTAGCACGTGTGCATGCTTAAATCTTCAAAGCATAGACACCCTGTCCAATAACCAATACTAGCACAGCTAGTCAAAATTCTGTCCAGCAGAAAATTTTAATATTCTGAAATTTATTCAGGATGAAAAGTTGAAATATTGAATTTGTTTTGTAAAATGAGCAGAATAGTCCAAAATATTTTGATTCCAAATATTTTGCTTCAATATTTCCGATCAAAATTAAACATTTCAACATTCCCAAATCAAACTGTCTCTTTTCAGTTTGCTGAACTGAATTGAAACATTTCATTTCTGCTTGATTCAACATTAATCTGTGTTCCCCTGAACTGTTGTAACTGGAGTGCCTCATGCCCTCATTGTCTGCTACGGGCTGGGTCCCTAGCTGGACTAGATCTCCCATAATGCACATTGGTCACACAACCCCCATGATGCACCATGTTAGTGCACCCAAAGGGGAGACAGAGTTCCACCATGAGAGATGTAGTCCAATTAGGGAGAACTGGGGTTCATGAGGAGGAGGGGGGCTTGAAGCACCAAAACTATAACTCCCATGAGGCACCAGGGTAGCTCAGGCAGACACAGATTAAAGATGACTGGACCTAAAACCAAATGTTTTGATTCAGTTTGACAAACCAAAATGTTCTGATTCAGGTTGAGCCAACATGGAACAAAGGATTTTGTTTCAATTTCCCCCACGGAAAATGGAAGACATTTTGGAGAAAAAAAAAACAGAAAATTTTGATTTTATGGAAACTGCATGTTTCCAAAAAACATTGACAGAAAGTTCTCGGTCCATGTAATTACTAGTCTTTGACTTCAGTGACACTAGTGGCATAAAGAAGGATGACTCATGAGTGGACGTTGCAGCCCTGTGCCCCTATTTTCTAAATTTCATTTTCAGGCTTCAGGATTTCCTCCTGAGTCCTCTTCAGTGATGTTATACAGCTGGAATTTTCAGAAGGACTCAGTTCCCACCACTGGGGCCAGATGTTCACAAGGGCGCTGAATGGAAAATCTAGCTATAAGTATCACCGTGGGAGCTGTTGGATGTTGAGCATGTTTGAAAATCTAGGCCCTATTTAGGTGCCTAAACAAGAGCTTCACTCTTTTAAGGATCTGTCACGTACTAAGGGTGCTTGAAAATCTGGCTCCCACCTCTTTAACCCACCAGATATTCTTTGTGAAAAGTCAGGATCATGTCATTTTAAAGATCAAACCTCCAAACACATCAGAACGGAAACGCGAATGGCAGAAATGTGGTCAATGAATGCTCGCCCAGAAGGCTAAATGTGGAAGTGATATCTAACATGCAATTGTTGCTCAAAATCTACTGTGCTATTGAATTCACTTGTTGCTAGGATAACAGTCAGGTTGTGTGGAACAGATTGATTGAAATCTGGATGGAAAAGGAAGGAATGTGGCATGTGGTTAATGACTGCAGGGAAATAGTCATGTCAAAAGTTCACATACAATAAGTGATATCAATAATTTACGATGCACTTCTAGTCCATTTTCTTTATCAACAGTGCCTTCTAGCAGTAATTGGAAGGGGTTGCACAGGTCACTGGTTTAGTTATGCCACAAGAGGATGTCAGGCTCTGTATGAGATGTCATGGCTACACACCTGTATATGTCTTAGTGAGAAGCAGCTTGGATTCCTTATGAATGTAGTGTGTGTTACCCACCTGGTTCATTATTTCCACCATATCATCATTATCACCATCAACTGTGATTGTTTTGCTTTTGCTTCTCCATCCATCTTCAGTAACTGATAGGAGAATAAATACCTGCCAAATGCATGTGTGCACGAAGCATTTTAAATCAGTATCAGAAAGTTACCGAAGAGGATTTTTAGAACTGAAAAAGAAGCCGTGCTTTCGATGTTATTGCAAAAGGCAGCAGAGAAGCAACCCACTACCTGGAGTAACGTGGGGGTGGTGGCACCCAAGTTTAATGAAGGTGATGCTCTTGTGCCCTATGGCGAAGCGGGGGGTGATAGAGACGTTTTATCTTACCCTGCTATGCGCAATACTCCTTCCCTGCACTGTGTAGGGTCAAGCCTGATATGAGATGCTTTTGTGATATAAGCCAGGTTTTCCCAGTTACCTTGTCTTTGAAATGTCACCTGTGATCTTTCTGCTTGAAGTAGCGATGAGCCAGCATTTAGCATCCAAAGAAACGTGCCAGCAAAATAAAATGGTAGATCTTCAATTGGACCAGGCTTCAGACCTGGTAGATGTTTAGATTCATTCATTTGAAAGGAAAATAGTGAATGATCTGTACATTTGGGGAAAATTCTGTCCCACACTGCAGCTCCGTTGTACTATCCCATCAGGATTGCAGCCTTGCCGCGACATCCCACTCTGGGCAGCATTCTCCACTCGTGCTCTGCAAGCTGTTGTAGGGAATGAAAAGACTACGCTATGCCCTGCCTCTTTTGTCCTTTTTGACTCTCTTTGTAGCACAGGGACTGCCCTGCTACCTGTCCCTAACGGAAAAGAAGGTGCCTAGCACTCCCTTGCTCCCTCACACATTGTGTATCCATGTCAGAGCCAGGCACAATTTGGCCCTACCTGATTATATGAGTTATTAAACTGCTATAGTTAGCATTTGAAGAACAGTCTAGACTCAGGGGAGGTCAAGCACTAGGGGACAAGAAGGATGGTCTAGTTGTTTGACCATTCATCTATGACTCAGGAAACCTGCCTTCAATTCTCTGCCCTGCCATAGACTTCCTGTGGGTACATCTACACAGCCAGTGGCAGCCCACAGAAACATGGCTCAGAGCCCAGGTCAACAGACTTGGGCTCGTGGGGCTCGCACTAAAGTGCTAAAAATAGCTTTTCAGCTTGGACTTTGAAGCCCACCCCGTCCAGAGGCTTCAGAGCCTGAATCTACTCAGCAATTTTTAGCGCTGTAGCATGAGCTCTGAAAGCCTGAGTCTGTCGACCCGGGCCCTGAGATTTCTGCTGTGGGCTGCTGCTTACTGTGTAGATATGTTCTCTGTGACCTTGGGCATCACCTTGTCTCTCTCTGTCTCTTTGCCTGCTCTGTAAAATGGGGATGCCGGTACTTCTTTTCCTCACAAGGGTATTGTGAGACTCAATGCATTAAAGATTCTGAGGTGTTCAGAGATTGTGATGATGAGGGCCATATAAGTGCCATAGATAGATCACTTAGGAAGCAGTGTGTCCTGAAGCTGATGTAACAAACCGCAATTTTACCGGTAGAAAATATTCTGCCTGCCTATATGGCCTCATCACCTCAGTATCTGAGCACAAGCTTTCTCTCTCTACTGTAATTACTCTACTCCACCACACTAATTAGCTCCAAAATTGAGCACCTATTCTTTTGGAAAAGTGATCTTAAAGGGTGGAAGAGACATAAAAGCAGCCCAAAAGAAAATCAGAGAAGGTTTTTTAGCCAATAGGCAAAACACACACACACACACACACACACAAACAGGAAAAGTTTTCCCACTCAGCCAAGTCAAATTGGCTTCCACCTACTCACAATTCTAACTACTAGAGGTTAGCAAGCAACCTGTCACAGAAATCCAAATGAAAAGATTTCCCAGTAGCAACATAATCATCATTCTGGATGGAACAGTAGCTAATATAATGCAGAATTGTTTTGTACAGTTCTTTTGGATGTGAGGTTACTATATCTGGGCTTTAGGGATATTAAGCCCTATTGTGTTAAATCTCATATTTCTTCCTTCTTTATAGCAACACAATTTTTATAGCCTTCAAAATACTCGAGATCCAGAAATGCTATTGAAATAGAGGTGGAATGTATCATGTTCAGGAAATATTCTTTATTCAGGGGTTTGCTTTTATATCTAAGCTTGATGATTTGGGGTTAAATTCTTTGCTGGTGTAAACTGGTACAGCCCCATTCACTTCCATGGAGCTACACCAATTTGCACCAACTTTGTTCCAAACTTCTGACCGAAATGTAGGACAAACTCTTTGAGCAGTGAGGCAAATCCTGAATTCCTTACTCACTTGTCACTCAGTCAGAAGTCCTGTTGACTTCACTAAGAGTTGTACTAGATTAAGAACTCAGGATTTGACCCAGGCTTAGTCTACACTATGACTATAATTCAAATTTAGCAGCGAATTTAGCACCGCCGAATTAATGTGCTTAGTGTGGCCGCATACACTCGACTTTATACAATCGGTTGCCAAAAATCGAATTCTGTAAATTCGGATTAATCCCGTAGTGTAGACATACCCCCAGTGTGGCTGAATAAGTAACCTTTAGAATGGAATGTATGGTCCCTCAGCATTTGCCATCATGGCTAGAGATGGGGGAATAATGGAAAATGTTGTTCTCTGGCAGTTCTGAAAAACTGGGGGGAAAATTGTATGTGGTTGATCTGAAAACAAAATTCTTCAGAACTTCTGGCAAATTGAAAAGTTGAAAAATATTTAATTTGGGGTCAAACAAAATGTTTCATTTTGACATTGACCGTTTATGAAAAAAAAGATTTAGCATTTTTTAAAAATTAAATTGAAGGAATTTCAAAACAAAAAGTAATTTCAACTTGAAAAATTGAAACATTTCATTTAAAAATGCGGACATGAAATATTTAGACTTTTTTGGACTTCTTTATTTATTTATTTTTTTCAGAAAAGCAATTTGGTAAAACCAAGACAAATTCACAAAACGTTTCAGTATCACCAAAGGTACAGTTTTCACCAAAAAATGTCTGCCCAGATGTAATCACAATGCATTGGACCAGTTTCCGATTTTAAGGCATCCAGTTTCCATTGACAGTCAGTGGGCACAGAGTATCTAATCCCCTAGACCACCTTAAAAATCTCAATCTCAGTCTCCAGGTACATTGATTCATTGGTAAAGCTGAGTAACTCCAATGGATGTATGCTGGCGTAATTGAGATCTGGCCTCTAGATTTCCATCTCTGATCCCTAATCCATGTGTCTCAGATAGTTTGTTCCATTTAACCAGTAATGGATAAGTGATGTTCTAAAAAATAAGTCACAATTTTACCAAACTACTGATTTTGGTTTACAAAATCTCCTTTCTTAATATGTCCCAAAGGACATTCCAACTGAAAAGGATCTTTTCTGACGATCAGGAAGTTAGACTCACAAGCGATGCAAATTTGGCAAGCTCTTTATCCCCTAAAACAGTCAATGGCATTTGCCAGTTTTCTATTATTGCTTTTTCCCCCCTTATGTGGCATTCATTATTGTTCTAAAACCCCCCAAACAATCTCAATGATACGTAGCTGAGCCAGGGTAAGGATGAATTCCACAGAGAGTCACTAATAATACAGATACTGTGCACTGAAAGCCAACCCTGTTAAAGTAAAACTGAATGATTCATATTCATGCTCGCTAATAGAGTTCCTGGCTATTGCACCACAAGGGCATTAATTAATTTATATGTGTGTGTGTGTAAAAAGTAGCTGTTCTGAAATGAAAATCCAGTGTGTTTCAACTGCATATATTTGCACATATTCAACGCTGACTCAAATGGTGTACACTGCAAAGACCTTTTAACATACAGATTTAATGTGGATTAGGTTTAATCCTTCACAGTTTGTCTAGGTTTTGTTGATTTATTTGTTTAATGGTTTCACCATATATCATTATAGGCAATGCTAATGCAAATTCATGCTATTTTATGAAAACAGTTTCACTGGAAACAATAGAAACTATTCTGCAACTGGATTATCATCCACAGTTATCACCTGGAAACGCTGCAAATAACTCAAGTCCTAATGTCCACATGTGTTCTTTTAACAGATAAACTCATTATAAGTTAGATGTTTATTTAAAGGGATTCCAAACATTCCAGATCAAATTGTCCAAAAACTCTGTTCATGTGTTAAGGGGATTTTGTTTTAAAGGCAAACATTATGTATATTGTCTGCGATCCATATCTATCTTCATGTACATTTCTGAATGAACAATACATCCAGACAATAGGCCAGATTGTGATCCCATTCACTCTATGGGCTTCAGATGAGTTACTCTGGATTTCTCCTGGTGCAACTGGGGTCTGAACCTGCTCTGATGTCTCTATACTTCCTCCATTAGGATCTCTGCACAGCATTCAGCAACTGGGATTAAAAAGGTGATTACCCTTGTTTGTGTTTGATACCTGAGGCTATTCTCCTGATATTTCCAAGCTAGATGAAATCAAGAAATATGGGAGGTCTTCTCATGAGATTTCTAACCAATTTGTAAACCCTTAAAAGCACAGTGTCCAAACTTCTGAAGGCTTATGAAAGTTGCCTATCACAAATTGCTTCAAGGTTCAGACAATATACAAAGGGTGGTACTGCAGTAGCACTACAGAAGGATTTGTACAAGATACAAGGATGGTGCCAATGAGGTTAGTGGTGTTTTGTCTTCCAGATTGCAGTACTGTGCTTTCATTTATATTCATGTCGTTTTAATGAGGTTGCACATGTATAACTGAGTCCAGAACTTGTACTGAGATCATTCTCACATCAAGGTTTCTAGCAGAGCCCAGTGATTTCATAGGAAAGCTGGTCCGAATACTCCAGTAGGATCTCCTGGTGTTACCCGGGGTTCTTTCAACCCAAAGCACTTGGTAACTTTTACTCTGTGCGAGGTGGTGTCAGGAAATAAATCACGGCCGTCCAAGCAATAGATGGCTGGCACAAACAGGACAACACAAGAGTGCTTTCGCTTAAAGCTAAACTTTACTTAGTCTCAAGCACTTACACACGTCCGCAACAGGTTAGTAAAACACCCCCAACCCTTGATAATTACCGAAGCTGAGTATGGCTCTCGAGTGGCACAGCAGCGGTCCATCTGCCGATGGGGAACACAAGATGCATCCAGAGGGAAAGTCCAGTCCTGAAGAGTCCCACTACCTCAAACTTTTCCCCTTTATTTTATACATTAGTCAAGCAAGAGGTTTTCTTCTGATTATTGATTAACCTGGTGTGGGTTTTTCCCAGAGATTGCAGCCTTGAGACCCTGTTAGACACATTCCTGAAGGCACACCCTGCTCTTCTAAGATGCATGTATCAGCAACTTCAACACAATTCTTATCAGGAAGGATACGGGGTCAAGCTGCCCTTTCTGTGGCACCCAAAACCCCCTCCTTCCTTGGTTAAGCTAAGCCTGCTGACTTGGCTGCTTTTAGCAATAAGCAAAGGTGGGTTCAGGCACTTTACTGGTTTGCTGACATCTCCCTGTACACTGGACAGGTACAGCTGGACCTTGCGTGCTGTGTGAACAATCGGATTTGTAAAGCTGTTTTGCATAATTTTTGGTTGTGGGATTGCCTGATGCAGTGCTGACAACTCTTGTGTCTCCACTGGTAGCATACTGAATTTCTGTAACAAGGGATCAATAAGGAAGACAAAATGCAGCTCATCCTCTCTCTCTCTCTTTCTTCCACCTGTGGAAATACAGCTTCCTAGACCCTGGATTCACTACTAGTGATGAGAAAAACCGCTTGTTAAACAATAAGAACTCCTCATTCTATCCTTTGCTCCTTTTTGGAATCAAGTGTGAGCTAAACTCACTTGGAGGTTCTGAAATGCTCATCTAACTCCTTTCTGCTCAATATTTTTCAGGTGGTAGGAAGGATGGCTTTGTGGAGAGCTGGAGCTGAATCTACACTTCTTGATCCAAGCAGCCCTGAACTTTGGGGGAAGTTTGGATCCACATCCAGATTAGAAACTCATCCCTTGATTTCATCTGTAAACGGCTGAACCTTTGGCCCAACTCTAGTCTTGTGGTTAAGACACAGGAGTGGGACTGGGGTCCTGGAACAGGACGCATCTCTGCCATAAGTTTCTTGTGTGACGTTGGGGAAATCCTTTGATCTCTGTTCCTCAGTTTCCATATCTGTATCATGGGGAAATATGTCCCCACCTCACAGGAGAGTTGCACAGCTTAATTAATTAAGATTATGAAAGTGCTTTGAGATCCTCAAATGGGAAGTGGTATATATAAGTGTGACATATAATTAATATTATTGTGCATTGCCAGGATTCAGCAAGGACCAGAACTGGAATGGCTGCCCAGAACACCACAAGAAAGGCTGTTTTGGGATTTATGGCCTAACCAGAACAAGGAAGTATGGAAACTCTAGTGAGAGAACCTTCTTTAACAGACTGGGTAGCTGTCATGATAATCTTCAGATCCGGAGAGCGGGTACTAAGCAGCTGCCTAGAGTGGTAGATTCTGCCTAGGTTGACAGCGCCAGCCCGGCCAAACCTGAGTGGCGCTCGGACCCCATGCACCAGGATGCAATGCCATTTACTTGGATGTGGGTGGCCACCCCCCATACCCCCTCCCTAGGTCATGACAGAAGGGTGGCCAGGTCAAACCTGAGGGAGTGGTGCTGTCACCTGGCGCTTAGCCCTCTCCCCCCCTACACACACACTTCTGCCGTAACAACTGAACCATCAGAAGGCTCGCTGAGCCTCCCCAGAAAGTCCAGTGCGCACCCTGGTTGAGGACCTCTGTTGAGGACCACACTGAAGTTTTAGGTGGCAGATTGTCTTGAGCAGCCTCTGCTGGAGCAGGATTCTGGACATCTGCTATGTTTCCCCAGCCAGCTGAGGGATAATTCCCCTGGCGCAGGCACGGTGTAGCACAGCCACTGGTGTCCTCGCAAGTGCCAGTGCAGGGATCCATGGGGGCTAGGACAAGAGTAGGTGACATGTCAAAGGCATGACTGTAGCAGGCTGCAGCACATGCCACTACAGCCTCTCTGTGCAGATCCAGATTGTGCAGCTGCCCCACAGTCAGTCCAAATAGGGCTGCTGTGACTTAGAGCCAATTCCTGGGCTGCTTAAGACACGGCGGGGTGGGGACGTGGGGGGGGCATTTCGACCCTCAACTGGCACAGATTCCTAAGGGCACAAGGAAATGTAAAACCATCTAATGGACTGAACCTGTGTGTGTCACATCTCCTGGGGGCACCGCATACAACCTCACTCTTAGGGCTGGTCTACACTACATAGTTAGGGCTACGTAAAACAGCTTATGTCGACCTAATTATGTCAGTGTACACACTACAGCCTTCCTCCCATGGATGCAAGGGCCCTGCTACACCAACCTAATAACTCCACCTCGCCGGAGGCGTAAGGCTTATGTTGGTGTAGTTAGGGCGACGCAGTGTCTGTGTAGATACTGCATCCCCTAAATCGGCTGTCTTGTCAATTTCACAGCAGGAGCCAGGAAATTGACAAGAAAGACCCCCACTTCCCTGGAGAGCTGGACAGCTGGACCCTGATCCCAGCTGGGAGCCAGGAAAAGAAGCCAGAGTGGCTTCTACCCTAATACCAGCTGGGAAGCAGTGAAATTGACAAGGCTGCCCGGCTCCCTGTGGGGAGTGGGCAGGGGGGCCAAGAAGCTCCTGGCAGCTACCTTTCCACACCCCTTGGGGAGCAGAGGGGCAAGAAGCCCCAGGTGGCTTCCCCTGACTCTCGGCAGGGAACAGGGAGGCAAGGGGGGGCAGCCCACTGGGACCCCGGGAGCCTGTGGGGCAGCCAGGGTACTGACAGGGAGCTGCCAGCAGAGCTGAGATCGGGCTCTCCTCTGCCTCCTCTTACGTTGGTGGAAGTTCTCCTGGTGAGGACATGCACCACCGACCCCAGAAGGGTAGTGTAGACATGCACCAACACAGTAACTGCTGCCGTGGCTGTAAGTTGACCTAATATAGGTTGATTTAGGTTTGTAGTGTTGACATACCCTGAGACTTTGAGGTGCTTCTCTAACTCAAATGTTGATTGTGAGTTTTTGATGTTCCTCTGTCACTCTTTTGTTCCACTGGACAAACTTCTACCCTGGCCTGGCTTGGGAGAAATGCCTCTGACAAATCCAGGCACAGAGCTATGTCCCAGCTATCATCTATCCAAATGTTAAATATTGCAAAAGACATCGGAGACTCAGAGAACATTAATTACAGCCCATTATCAGCAGGTGCCAGAAGAAACTGAAGCGAGCACACAATGCTGTATCATTTGGTTAACAACAGGCCCTTTCTAGATTTACAATAATCTATCAAAGAGTCGCTGTATCTGTGAAGAAGTGGTTCTGCACAGAAAGGTCATCCAGCCATGGGCATGTAATTGTCCTGAGAAGCATAAACTGGAGCTGAGAGAGCTGGAAAACCTCCCCAGTAAACTCTTCTTAGGAAAGGTATCTGTGTCACAGTTTCTTAACTTGCAACCTTAATAGGCTTCATTAGTATTATCTAGTCATGTTTATTACAGCAGTGCCTAAGGGCCAAACAAGAGCAGGGCCCCATTATGCTAGGCGCTGTACAAACGCAGAACGGTCCCTGCCTAGTGATCTTACAACCTAAATAGATGAGACTGACATAGGGGAAGGGAAGGGGTATCACACACAAGCAGGGTGAACAATGTGATGGCAGGAAACATAACTTTAGTGCCACGTTTTTGCAGGGGGGGTTAGTTAGGAGAATAACCCCGACTCTTGGAGCAAGGGGGGGTTAGTTAGGAGAATAACCCCGACTCTTGGAGCAGTGAGACTCTGGTGGGCCCTATCCAAAGGACTGCAACTAAGATGACTACCTGAGCCCTCTGACTTCATTCCCAGCATGCCTGGAGCCAGGGTGGGAAGCAGAAAGAACTAGAAACCTCTGTTTGGGCCAGTAGGGAGGCTTCTGCATGAGGAGATCTGCACAAGCTGGCCATTGGACCGGTGACAATCCAGAGCTGCTCAGACAGGGTTAGTTTCTGTTTGGAAGCTGGGAGAGAAACAGCTCAGCTGAGAGAGTGCCGGCTAAACTCTCACTTCCCCCAAGGGGAATTCTTGCACTGCTGTGAGACCAAGCTGCATGGACCAGGCCGTTCAGCACTGCCATGAACAGCATCCAAGGAGAGAGTGAGCGCCAACCCAGCACCAGCTACTGAGCGACAGCTCAGACCTGCACAGACTTTCAGACCTGGCAATCCAGGAGGAGTTCAGAGAGGACCCTGCCCCACCCAGGGGCGAAGACCTTTTGTTCAAACCGAACAATGCCACAGCACTGCAGCAGTTCATCTCAGGACATGAAACCTCAGGGTACCATTCGCCTAGGGACGTGCCGTAGGAATGTGTCAGCGGGAGAGCTGGGCTTTGGAGGCATTGTGAGGGTTAAGAAGTGGGAGGTTGGTTTGTTTATCAATGTTTATTAATTATTAGCTAACCAGAATCCCTTCCTTTCCAGATCCTATTTTCTGGAGGGAAAGGGGGATGAAGAGGACAGGGCTGGAGAGATGAGGGAAAGAGGGACAGGTGTGGAATGAAGCTGATGTGAAGAGACTGTGAAGGAAGGTGAGGGTTGGAGCTAATCAGCACAGGGCAGAGACTGTCCAGCCAAAATTGTAAAAAGTTCACTGAGTGTCAACATGCTTTGGCTGCATCTGCTCCTACTGGCTGGAGTCTCATTACTTACTGTCTTTTACTTTAAAAAATATTCCCAGCCCAACTTCTGTGTTGTTCTGACAGATTCCTGCTCACGGGCAGCTATGGAGCAGAAGCAACCATGTTTCAAAACATGAAGAGTTTTTTAAAAATAGCATACAGAGTGCAAAAATCTCTATTGTGGAGCTCCAAGCACCTCTTTCCTGACTCCCATTTTGAGCCCCAATAAGCACATTCATGTGAAGAGGGGGAAAAAACTCCAGTCTCTCTTTGTTTAATCCATCGTAGCTGCCAACTAAACTGGTTCTAATAACAATCTCTGGTACTCATGCAGGGCCTTTCCTTGGAGATTCTCAAAGCACTTTAGAGATGTTAGCTGATTAGACCTTACAATAACCCAGTGGGATAGGTAAGTACTGATGGGCTCGATTCTCATCCTAGGTTGTAGGCACCCAGCAGTGGACTGTGGGGACACATTGGCATAAATTGCCTGCTTCTGCCATTTCATCAGTGGGCCTGGAGCTGGCTAGCACAGACACAAAAATAGGAATGGTCTTCCCAGAGAGTGAACTAGACAAGGCAGCCAGAAGAGATGCTAATAAAGAAGGTCTCATGGGGAGCATGCATTGGAGGGGTTCTTATGGACTCAGAAATTTCTGATTCTCAGTCCTGTCCTCAGACCATAACCCTCTCTACAAAATTTAGTCTCCTCCATTGCTTCCCCAAGCATAGTGCCCTTCCTCTCAGATTGACAGCCGTGGAGCGTGACGTCCTGTATTTACCCACGGAATATACACAGCACAGGGAGTGATGACCGTGATACAAG